CTGCTGCCTCCCCATGCCCCAGGGCAGCCAAGCATCAAGCAGTTGAGAGCACAAGACATGGCTGCCTGAGATCCATCCCCAGGAGCAGAGCTGCATCCCCCCATCTTCCCACACACTTACTCGGAGGTAGTTGAGTGTGGAGTTTGAGAGCCCACAGCGGGTGATGTTCTTGGATAACTGGTCCAGCATCTGGGGGTCCTGTGCCTAGGAGAGAGAGGGACAGATGGCTCAGCTGCATCTGGGCTGGGGACGGCCCTCCCATGCTCTGGCCTGTGATGGGGGGACAGAGTCCAGGTCCCCCCAACCTGAGCAGCAGGGAGAGGAGCTCAGCAGCCCCACGTCACTCATGCCCCGGGGGAGCTCCTGGAGTGGTACTCACATGCATGGCAAGGATGCTGCGGGGGATGAGCTCTCGATGCTGGCGGATGCTGAAATGCCACGTCTTTATCCTCATCATGTCGTCAAACATGAACTCCAGGTAGAGCCGCCCCTCCACAAACACCTGGGCAGGGCACAGGGTCAGGAACAGCCTGCTACCCCCTTCCCCCACCCTAAATCCCCTGGGAACCCACTGCTGCACACTGGGACACCCTCCCGGGGGCTTTCCCCTGGCTGCCAGGAGACTCGGCACAAGCCAAATCCACAGTGGCCAGGGGATCTCTGCAAAAAGGGGGTGCTGCAGGGCTGGCTGAGGCACGTGGAACTACAGTGTGGCACTCAGCAAGCCATCAGTGTCCCTCACCCCATGGGACTGCAGCTGCCACGAGGGCGTGTTGGACAAAGGTGTGAGGGGCAGGAGAAGCCACGGGCACCGACAGTACCTGTGTGAACATGGGCTTGCCGTGCTGGGTGACCATGGTGCACTGGTCGCAGTCCAGAGAGACGAAGTTGTTGTGGAAGGACTCCTTGGGGTGCTTGAGCACGTAGTAGAGCTCTGTGGCCCCCCCTTCAAAGATGCTGCGGAAGTAACGGGGAATCAGAGTTCGGCCGATCGCTGGAGGAGGAGAAGGAGGAAGATAATGTCAGTAAATCTGCTTCACCCAGATGTGCCCTGGGGCTGCACGGGGAGGGGGACCCCCAATCGCAGCTGGCTGGAAGCAGCTGAGCTCTGACACCCTGCCCGCATCCCCCCCGCCGCACAACCACCACATCTTCTGCTGGAGAAGCAATGGCCTGGGGAAGGAGGGCTCAAGCTGCTACTCACTGTATCTCTTTGGTCCATCCTCCAAGCAGAAAGTGATTGTTAACATGGCATCATCCTCAAAGAACTCTGTGGTGAAGGCATCCCACCACAGATTGTCACATTCCTGGGGGCGGCAAAGAGATGCCAGGTTACAGGGAGGGGAGACAGACAGACAGACAGACAGCTGCTGGCTGCCAGGCACAGCAGCCACGTGCTCAGCCCGCGGAGGGCTGTGCTACCAGCTGAGCGCCCAGAGCTCCTGTGCTACCAGCTGAGCGCTCAGAGCTGGGGATGATGAGCCCTGTCCCACAGCCAAGCGAGGCACAAGACGCTTGGGGACCTGCACAGCAGGGCAGAACCCCGCTGCCAAGGGGATTTCTTCCAGAGCCAAGGCAGCTCGTGAGGGCAGGCAGCATGGAGGACCCCATCCCCAACACACACCTAGGAGTGTTCCCTTGCCCCTGGCCACCCTCTTCTCCCGCAGTTCCTCACCTCTGTCCAGTTCTGCAGCCGCTTGTTGAGCTCAAATATCCTGTAGTCGGTCTGGTTCCCGTACGGCGTGTGCCTCCTGCCCAGACAGCAGAGCAAGCAGTCAGAGGGGGAGGCAGCCACAGGGTGGGGAAGGGTCCCAAGCCCATGGTGGGGGAACACACAGCCCCTCCAGGGCTGTGCAGAGCCCGAGCAACCCTCCCTGCAAACCCCTTCAGCCAGCAGCAGCGTGCCAGCCCTGCTGAGGCATCCCCACCATGGGCACAA